AGAGAGGGCTGCTGTGCCGTTCTCTCTCTCTCGCTCTTGGGTTCGAGGCAGCGCGCTAGCTCTTTTCTCTCTCAGTTTATGATAGGGCTTTAGTAGAAAATCCCTTTTACATCGTAAGGTTCGTTACATCGTCCCTAAAACATAGCAGCCCCAGCCACGCCGGGACCTTCTTCAACCGAACCGGCACACGTCTCTAAATTTTAGCAAATTGCTCCTACCCCCTTCGATCTCATGTTGAAGAGTGAAAAAGCTGATATATCAAAACTAGTGATGGGAAAATTGCAATTAAAGAGATATAATGCTTCTTGTAAATGAAACTCAAATTCACTTTTAATTTGTAGAGATTTTTTTTAAATCTTAATGCTCTTTTAATAATTTACCATATTTATCACGTTATAATTGAGAATATTTATTTTTGACACTTTTCTACTAAAATCGCTGGTAAGCTGCAAAAAATTCCCCGTACAAATGACAAATTAAAAGAAGTAACCATTGAAACGAATTGCATAACAACAGCACACAAAAAATAAATAGTTTTTGTGTAAATATTTTCAACTAATTACTTCTACTTGCTCATCTAACATAATCACCAAAGGCGCCTATTTTGCATGAAAATCACCTATTTTCCCAATCATAATCAAAACTGGGATGTTAGCTGGCGACCTGGCGAGTCAAAGCAGAAGTAAATAAATTTGTTAGCAAAAATGAAGTCTTTAAAATCAGTTGGGTCAAAATGTAGATTTGAAGAGAAACTTGAAAAAAATTAATATAAATAAAAATAGATAATATAATTTGTTATTATTTACTTATTCGCCGATTAATTGTTCAAAGAATAATTTAAAAGCACTGTAAATTTTAGTCAAATGGAGTCAAATTTTGGCTGCTCTTTCACAATTAAATTAAGAAAAATTATTTTTTTAAAATTCTTTGCGTGCCTCAAAATCAAAATATTGTTGGATTCAATAAAATTTAAAAGATCTTTGAACTTATTTTAGAAATTTGAAGGCTAACAATAAGTGTTTCAACTAAGGACTATGAGTCAAATTAAATCTTTAAAAAATGGTAGTTGTAATTTCAATTTTTTTTCTTCCAAAATCAACTTTTATTGTAGCTCGGTCTATGCAGAAAATGATTGCATAAATTTGTAATTTGATCTTAAATTTTGGATGAGGCCTAGCCGCCGTGTTCGAGGTGGCCCCGGCCGGACCCTTTCTGCTGCTCTCAACTCTGCTCTCCCTCTGGCTCGCGCTCCTCTCGCTTCCAAGGATTCTGTAAGGCTGCGGGATTACATAACGGCACCTCGCGAGAATTTGTAATCATTCCAGAGCAGCAGCAGCAGCCAGCAAGCAGCACTGCAAACCTCCGCGCCGTGCGCTTTCTCTTCTCTCTCTAATTTGAAACTCCACTCACACACACATTTATTTATATATATAAATTCAACGGGCGCACCACGGCGAGGTTGTTGCTTTGCCGAGCAGAGAAGGCGCTTAGAAATTTATTTTTTCGCAATAACAACAGCACTTGTCCTCATCGCGCTGCTCGAAAGCATCTAAACTCATTTTCCGGCCTCCCTCCTTTGATTGTTTGAGAAGAAACTTCTTCTTCTTCTTCTTCTGCTCGCCTCGCAGTATAAGATGGAGAGAGAAAGACTGACGCAATGAGGGCGGAAATAAAAGGAAGAGAGCGAGAGGGAGTTTCTTTGTAGCTGCTCCTTTGCTGCCGCCGCCGCCGAGAGAAGATAAATGGCTTTCTGCTGATGTTGCCCTCTCCGGTCGTCATGGCAACCATAAATTTATAAATTGCCGAAATCTAAATAAACGCAAGAGCCAGTGAATCAAAGTGTTGCATTGCGTGTAGGGATGATTTTTGTTTATTTGCAGACAGATTTTCTCTGATATGACCAAATTCAGATCATTCATTTATAATTCAACATAAGATTTTGGCGAATTAGTTTCGTGATGGGCGTTTAAAAATTTAACGAAATTTTAACCCTTTGGCTTTAATTTGACTATTTAAGATTATTAAAATATAAATATATTCAATGAAAATAAAATTGAATTTTAGTGCAGTGTTCAGAGTTTAAAATTTTCAATAAAATCTAACTTTTAGCCAACATTATAGCTGTGATTTGACGTTGGTTTGAGAAATTTTGAGTAATTTTATTCTATTGTAAGATCTTTTACAATTTCAGTAACACATAATTTTGTAAAATTCAAAATGAATTAAATGATTCTATAATATTTCTATAGAAATAATTATTTATGGAAAAAATCTTTTATCTGCTTTTTTTCAACACAGCCACTTGAATATATTTCAATTCAGGGTAATAAAATCCGACCTCTGAATATATATTTTTTTAATTATTAAGGAATTCTTGTTGGCCCAGTCTTGTACTAATTCTGTTCAACAATGAGAGCTAAAATTTCCAACAATCGCTAAAATTGGCTTCCATTTGTTGCGCCAATCAGAACCGCTCTTTTTCGGAGGGTGCGCAATTTTGTTAGCAGGACTAACTTTCAAAATTTACGCTTATTAAGGATGAGTTCTCAATTTTAAAAATGCTCAATATAGTCCTTGGTATTTAAACTGGCGGTGGAGCCCTGAATCAGGTTCGATAGACGGTAGACCTTTAAAAGTTTCAAAATTCACTAATAAACAAAGATACCTGAATCAAGTACAATAGACGAGAGTCCTTCTGATTTGACTTTGCGCCAATGAGAACTCTTATATTTTGCCGCACTTTTTTGGAGGCGGCGCAAATTCTGTTTTTAGGACTAACTTTCAAAATTTACAACTAAATTAAAGTCTGCACATTTTCGACAATAGCAAAAATTGGCCTCTATTGTTGTTGACTATACTTATAAAGAGTGTTATTTATATCATTCTAAATCCTTCTTACAATCGCAAATATGAAACCAAATATTGAAAACAAATCAATTTATAACAACATCAAATTTTTTTCCGAAACAAAGTACAGACGATAAAACTGTTCCATGCGAGTTTTCGTTTTTTAATATGTTTTTCAATTCATTCCTTGGACAATTAACAAAACTGAACTAACTGCGTGCGAGTTGATGTTGAATTCCCTTTGAGCCAATTGTTGGGTGCAGCGTCGCTGGTCGCGCTACCCCTCTCACTCAGGGATGGAGCAATCTGCGGATGCATATCTAAAGAGAAAGTAATCATGTCTAATTTGCCTTGCCATTAACTTCGGTACTAATTTTGTGTTTAGGGAGAGTGCGAGCGGGCTGAGCTCGGAGGGTTGCGCGCTCCCTTATATACACTGCAGGGGTGAAAATAAATGTTGCAGGGTGCCATCCGAACGAAATAAAATAGCACATTTAGTACTTGCGGAGGAGGATGAGGAAATATAATCATTCACAATGCTAGCTGGGGAAGCGAAATCTGCCGCCGCCGCCGCTTTTTTAATACTGCACCACGCTCTTTCTCCCGCACACACTGTCCTTTTTGTTGCTATAAACTGACATCTGTCTCGCATCCCTTAATCCCGGGCCTCCCCTTTCTCCCTTTAAAACGCCTGCCCATGCATCAAGGCCCCGAGTTCGCGCGTGCCATTATTCTCCGCAGGCCCCTTTCTCTCTCTCTCTCGCTCTCATCTTTCCAAAACACGTAAATCAAATAAACATACTTCCCTTGTCATCGTTTCTGCATAAATAGATATCACATATTCTCAGGGGGGTGACCAGCAGGCTTGATTATCATTACAATATTGCGCCGAGTTTTTTTTTTTTTTGTTGCTTTCGTTTGTATTTTAATAACATAAATTACACGCCGCAGTTTGTTTATCTCCGTTGTTGTTGTGATTAGGGGGTGGTTGCGGGGTGAATCTTCTTTTGTGCTTTTCACCGCCTATTATCTCGTTAAGGATATAAATTGATGTTGACAAGGAAAATTGCAATTTTCGCGCCGCTGCAGGGCAGGGGAAATAATAGTCGGCCTGCTTGTAATTCTAGACCTGCAAAAAAAGGAAGGCAGAGTCAATTTAATCTCTGAACTATAACGGATCCTTTAACGGCTAGAAATTTTGTTCATTACAAAATTCTTTTAACTTGTAGATTCAATTTAAATTTCACAATGAATTGCTATTATTATGACTTGAAAATGTATTTCTTCAATTTTTAAATTTTTAATTAAATAATTTAATCTATTCAAACTACAAAAGAAGTAAATTATGATGATTAAATTTAAATTAAAAAATTAAAAAATATTGATTAGAATGCAAAGCACAGTCTTATCTAAGAAGAAATAAATTTCTGAAGCTTATATAAAAACCTGAGTTTTAATTAAACAGTTAAAAATTAATTATCGAAAGACAGGAATAAAAATATCTATATTTAGAGTGAATTTAAATTTGTGATTGAAAGAAAGTCCTAAATTTTGTTATTTTAAATCCCTTATCAAACCAAGTTTTTCTCTTACTCATTGTCAGTTTCAAATTTTTAGAGCATCTTAAATAAAAACGTGTTCTTTTTACATCAAACCCATTTTTGCCATAAAATTTTGCATCCACTGAGAATTTGCTTTTGGCAGAGGAAGGAATATTATCATATTACGAGTTCAGCACAATTTATTCAAAATGGTCGCGCTTCTTTGGCAGGAAGATTCGCGCTCTCTCGGCAGCGTTATTTTATTTTCTATTCCTGCTCGAAATCCAATAACCAATACTGCGCGCCAAGTCAGCCTGAGAGATACGACGACGCTCCGGTTTTATTATGTATACATTTTGAAATCTGCAATTTCTTTCCCTCGCCGCTCCCTCGCAGTCTGCAGAAATGAGATTTTTTATGTTCGCCCCGGGAGGAGAGCGCGTCGAAAGGAAAAAATGACGATTCTCTTTGTTCGAACCGATCCGGGCTCTTTTCGCTCCCCACGTTTTTTTTTATATTTTGCTTAATCTAGAATGCTTTTATTTGCACTTTTATTCAAAGATGGTCCCGATCGATATGAAAGAAAGCACCAGGTTTTATTTTCACAGAAATTTTGGCACATTTTATTAGTAATAAAATCAGCATTTTTATTGTACACTTTTGACAGTTTATGTCCAATTCTGCAACCGAAAGATTGATCCGGGAAACAACTGCGTAAATATAGATGCAAAGTTAAGAACTATGACTAGAGACTCGTATAGGCTCCGCCTTGCGCTATAAATGACAAAATTATCTTGCAGAGACCAAACAATGCTCGGATGAAACGGTCTAGAAAGTTGAAGAAAAATGGTTTTTTAATACAGTTTCTCTCCTGATTGCATGTGGGGCTGATTTTCATTTCTTTTAAATACTCGTCAGATCAATGCTGATTGTATTAAAGATATATATATAATTATTACTTATTTATCATATTTTTGGTACAATAACAAACTCGCCACAAACAAAGTGTAATATATTCTACACGCGTCGCTCCAGTACACAAGAGATGAGAGACGTACTTTGATAGATAAATTTAACACTCAATCACATCTGAAGTTCAAAATTTTCCACCAGTCTCGCACTTACTTTTAAAGTTTTTCCTTCTTTTTTCGTAATTCTGAGAGGTTCAATATAACAAATAATGGAATTGCTAAAATCAACAATCTGCACACTCTGCTTTTAAAGATGCGCGTGTATTGCTTGAATTGCCTAAAGATTGCGCAACTCTGGACAAATAGGAAATAATCGCTCAAGTATTTACAAGATTTTGCATTCACTTAACTGACGCACTCTCATTTTTCCAGACTAAAGATATATCTCGTTAACCAATAATTTTTGGTTTAGGTTGAATTTCAGCGTAAAAATTTTGCCAAAATATTTACAACGGAGTTTTCTGCATCTCTCTTGTACGAATCTCAAAATTTTGCGCCTAATATAGAACGTAAATTGAGCACAAATCCACAAATGTAACAGAAATTACACAATCTTGGTCTCTTTTCCGCATTGGGGAAAACTTATAACTGGTGAATCACTCTCACCGCAATTTTATAGGTGGGTGTTTGTCATTGGTACACGTTCAAGGGTCTAAATCGTGTGGCTCTACTTATTGTATTTGGATTACCTCAGGTATTTTAAAGGTGGGAGAAGTTACGCTTTTAATCTAGTCACTTGTGTTTAGTTAATTATTTCGTTACGCATACATATTAATCCGGCGGGGGAAGAACATTAATAATTTGTACGTTCTATCAAAACTGGGCTTGTCCCAATCTCCTGCCGCCACACTTTTTTGCTTTCTTTCCAGTGGGAGCAAGAAAAGAACAAAATCAAAAGCTGCAGACGTCCGAACTAGAACGGAGGAAATCGGCGGCCGAGAAGAGTCTATGGTGGAGCAAGCCCAGCGTGGACTTTGATTGCGTTTTCACCTTGAGGATTGCGTACGCGAGCGTCGTCTCAGTGCTGCGCTGTGTTGTTGTCGTCGTCGTCGTCGGCAACCCCCAAGGCCGAATCTCAAACGGCGCTGCCCCGTTCGCCCGGGGACGAGGACACGGCCGAGCCGGTGGCGCCGCCGGTGGCCGACCCGGCGTACTGACAGGCCGACAGGGTCGAGTTGGAGGCGGCCGAGCGGGGGCTGAGCGAGGGCGAGTAGGTGCCGAAGCCGGACGAGTGCTGCTTGGCCTTGAGACGGAGGGAGGCGATGCTGGAGCTCATGGAGGTGCAAGCCTCGCCGCGGTACATGTACGGGGAGGTCGTGCCGTACGGACACTGCGCCGCCGGCGAACTGTTCAGGCTCGAGCTCATCGACGACGTCGGCATCAGCGTCGACCCGCTGTTCATGCCCCCCGTCGGCGTGTTGAAGCAGTTGATGCCCACGCTCGGCACGCTTGACTGGCCCGCCGCCGACAGTGGCGCCACCGTGTTCAGACCCCAGTGGAAGCTCTTGGCCCCCAGAGGACTCGGCACCTTGGCCCAGTTGTTGTACGACGAGTAGGACGAGTACAGCGAGTCTGTGTCTGCGAATGGCTGCATCAGTCCGTTGAATTGCGTGCCGAACCCGTTCTTGAAGTCGGCCGCCGCCGCTGCAGCTGCGTTCATCGCGTTTCGCTCACGCTTCCGCCACTTGGCCCGGCGGTTTTTGAACCACACCTGAAACAGAACAGAAAAAAAAAATTTATTAGTCTTTTTAATCAAACAAAAAAATTATCTATGGAGCTTATAAGACTACAAGAAAAACTTCTGGGATCCTTTTCAAGATCTAGACAAATCCAACAATCATCCTTTATCAAGAAAAGTAGAATGGTTATATGTGCCTGGCGGCCGGCTTACATAAAAAATTCAAAGCAGAGATTTAATTTGTTATGATTTTACTAAAAGCCAGAGTCGTTACTTTTCTAAACCATTTACTTTATGCCAAAGTATATTTTATTGTGATATTAATTTTTCTTACAAAACTTGGAATGTGACTTCTTTGACGGGAAAAGATGTCCAAAAATATCCTGTCATATTTTAAAAACTCTATTCAGAATTTTAAATCTAGTTTAAAAAGTGGTTCAAATATTTTAAACAAAGGATTTTTCTGATGCCTTATATTTTGTACTTTGAAGTGAAAAATATAAAGTTGTTTGCTAGCCTTAGTCTGGTCAAGTGGAACAAAAGGGTTGTGCTTGGATTGATACTCAGGAGATCCAGTAAAGCCACCCTAAACCACAAAGGATTTGAAACCTTCCTTTTATTGAATTTCAACAAAAGCGTGTTAGATAGATTAAGAAACATGTGAGGAAGGAGAAAAATTAATATTTAATCGTAAAATATAAATCAAGATTTTATTTTTCTTAATTTGAGACATAGCATAAAGTTTCCGCGTTTATGGAGTGGAATCAGAGCCAGTTTGGTGTCATTTCGGAAAAGCGTGTAATTTGAAATTAGCCCATTTGACCAGAAAATAGACGTCTCACTTGGCGCGGGCTGCAGTAGGGGTGGTGCGCGCGGAAACCGAGATCGAGTCGTTTATCTTCATTAGGGGTTCAATCAAACGGCTCATTGCCGAAATAAAAGCGTTCATTTATTACTCCGCGACGCAGGAGGGCGCCTGGGGGAAGAGAGAATCGTGCTTCGGTGATTTTGACGGGCGAAAAATCGCAAGTCAACAGTTTTTGTTGTTGCTTCTGTAATCGCGGCGTGGAAATTGCGAAACAAATTAATTGGCAGCAGCAAATCGGGCTGAGTTTAAAAGAACCTGTCGTTCGATTGCGAATGAAAAATGATTTTAATTAACATGGTAATCCCAGGTAATGCTCTGTTTGTGCCGCTATTATGAATAAATTACGCTCAGCCACTACGTTGGCACACACACGACCAAATTTATCGATGAAATTCGCGTTTGCGTGCGCGCGGGAGCGAGCGAGTTTGCCGCTCGTAATATCATATTGTGCGCGCCAGTTAATCCGCCAGTTAATCAGATAATGTCAGCAAATTGCACCGCTCTCCGTCGCCACCGGCAGCTACTCCCGAACTCTTTTTTTATTGCGCCAATAATCAAAACGCGGCGCTGCACAAACATTCATTTGATTGCCCTCTCGAATTAATGAGAGGAAACGACCGAGCTAATTCCGTTCACTGCCTTTTCAAAAACCTCAAAATCGGTTTCCGATTATCTTTTGCAGATTCAAATTTATATTGTTGTTGATTCATTCCGAATTTCCAAAGATAAACTAAATTATTAAAAAATTTAAGTACCGCATAAATAATTTAATATGCATGTTATGGCAAGTATAAGAATAATGTATTTTGTGAGAATCAAATTAAGCCTTAATAATTCCAATCTGCAGAGTTTGTTAAAATTAATTTTTTTCTTTCGACAGAATTTAGAGATTCCTTGGTGCTAAATTTCTATCAGAAATAAAATAATCCTGATCATTAATTAATGAAGGATTTTAACAAACATGAATTCAAATGTGAACACGTTTTCAATAAAATCTATCTAAATTTTAATTCTGGGCAAATGCGATTTATTAGTCAAAGGTCCCAATACTGAGTATTATAAATTACTTTTAGAAATGTAGTTATAATTGTACTTCTTATTTTGGGTATAGAAGAGAGAAATACAATTTAATATACCAGATTTCCGATTTATTTTATTCCAACCGTAAGATTTCCCATCGAATAAATTTTCTTTATACTTTTTCATTTCAAAACTAGAAATTTAAATTTGCTATTTCATTTAATTTTAATTTATCTGAATCTGCAAAAATCTTTTTATTTATTTAATCAGAATTTAAATTATTTATTATGAATCAAATATAAATTTATGCACATCTTTGAACTAAGCCGTTGTGCTGTAAAATAAATTTAAACTAAATAAAATTAACTTTATTCCAATTAAAGGCTTTTTATTTTTAGTTTGAATTTGTTCCTTAATCGCAAAATTTTAGATTTCGATGAAAGTAAATTGATCAAACTTGAATTTTAATGCATTTTGAAATTTAAAAATCCCTCATTTGAAGGCGTTGCTCATCCCCGTTAATGCCACTTGCGCCCGTTTCATGTACATGAATATACGAAAATAGTGAGCCGGGGCTATGTTGGCGGATCACGTGTCACTGCTCTTCTCTCTCTGTGTTGATGTTAATTCCCTCGAACTGTAAGTGAATTGCAATCGCCCTTTCACGGGGAGATGCACGGACGTGCGCCATATATAATGGAGGGCGTATAATGCCGCTTAATTCTAGCGAGCCACTGTCAAAATGTTAATTATCACGTGCACCTCGTGATCTGAAATTTGATGGCCGAAACATAATGCGCCCAAATCCCGCGCGCTTATAATTGGCAATAACGCAAAAAGCGTCGCCGGCCGACGGGCATTAACGGCTCTCTGCATCAAAACACCGAAATTTAATTTCGCAAAACTGATTTGCCGCCGATAATTTCGTGCAGCCCTTTTAAATTGCATTAGGCCGGATGAAATCATATTAAAATGGGGCGCGTTTATTTTGCGCTTAATCCTATTAGATTGAGTTTTATTGAAAATGAATCAAATTCCGTCCAATAGAAAAGTGAGCTGAAATTTCCGCATAATCCCATTACACGTATTGTAGAATTAACAAATTAAACCTTCGTGAATTTTGATTGCCAAAATCGACGCGGCGACCGAATTTGATATCTGACGCCGGGTGGGATTTTTTTCTCGCCAAAGTCCCGTGAGAAAGTGCGCGAGGAGTTTGGTTGGCCCCATTATACATTGAGTCAGTCGGTTAATCCGACAGATTTAGCCCGGCATTAAGGTCTAATACCAAAGGAATTTAAGTTAATTCTGCTGAAGCGCGCACTCCATACACTCAATAACGACTTGGAGCTCGGCCGCTCTGCCAAATAAAACTGATCGTCGCCCAGTTTTGCTTACAATCGAAAATCATTTTGAATTATTCTAATTTTTATTCCATTTAAATTTAAGTGAAATGCACGTTTATTTCTACCAAGATTTAATGAAATTTAATTCATTTTTAAAAATTTATAAAAAAAAATATCTAAAAAATATTCTAAGTAAATTCAGCAATTCAGGAATTTGCCTTACAAAATTTATATTTTGTTCTATTTTCACTTTTATGAAAGGATTCCATTGAAATTTTCTAAATTTAGTTTTCGTTCTTTAATTAAATTTCAAAAAAATGTGCAAAGATTTTGCTGAGAAGTTGAAGATACCGTTTCGTGGCTAGGATCAAATTAGGTCACTAATAATATTAATCTCTCAAATTGCTGTAAATTATATGGCTCTAATTGGACAGGCAGTTTGTGAAAAATGTTTTTTTTTATGTCTGATAGTGACGTGTGACATCATCCGAGTGCTCATCTCAGTCAAATAGCTGCTGCTACTCGAAAAGTGATAACGCAGCTCATATTTCTTCCTCTCTCACACTCACAAATTACAAATAGTACTTGCGGTCTTATCGCATCGCACGCCTTTTATCTGTATCTTTTTGATACGCGCGTTTTTTTTGTGTGGCGCGCTGCTTTTTGGTCGTGCCAAGACCATGTGCATTTTTCACATCTGCGTTCCAGAAATTTTCTTAAAGTTCCCCCTCTCAAATTCTGTGTAAAAATGAAATTTGCATAAGAAATAGTAAGAATAATATATTTCTAGGACAAGAATAAACAACAATAATAAATAATATCCAAGGAAAAAGTTAAATTCATTTTTCAAAGTTATTAATTGAACAGGAAATTATTAATTAACTTCATTTTATTATAATTTCTCATTTTTTTAAATTAAATTTATCATTATTCCTTACATATTAAGTAGGAAATAATATATCGATAAAAAGGAAAACTAAATAAGAATATTGGCTTTGAAACGATTGCAAACACTTCAGGCAAAAAATTTAATTGAAAAATTTTACGAAATCAGAAGACATTTTGTAATAGAAGTTCTCGATCGATGGTTGATTCACGGAGATTTGAATTTCACCAAAAATCAGACATTGTTACTTCTTTTTTATGTTTCTGTGTCTGAATAAAATTATATATTTAATACTTATTTCTTGACAAAAATTTACAGATATTTATTATTACTGAATGTAAGTGTTGTTAAATTTAATAATTTTTATAAACAGTGCATTAGATTTCTTGGTCAGTAATGAATAATTCAAATTATTCATAAAAGTATACATATAAATATGACAAAGAATGGAGAGAATTTATAGTTAATTGCAGATTAATTATTATCATTATCTTAATGATCACAGAAGTACAAAGATATCGTATCAGTTACAAAATTGATCGTCATATTTCACACACTTCAAATTCCTTGAGCTGAAAATTTTTTAAAACGAATTTTACTTCTTTATGTATCTTATGAAAATAAGTTGTATCTCAAGCTTAATAATTAAATGTTCTGTAAGAGAATTTTTGATGGTCTGAAATCCAGATTTTTATTTTAACATAATCTGAATTTAAAAAAAAAAAAAAAACGTTAATTTCTTTATTTTTGCTTTTTCAATGAAATACATTTTTTATTGAAAATTTACATCCATTGTCGCTCGTGAATGAAGTAAAATAAAATAAAAAACAATTCGATGTTGGCACTTTGGCAGTCAAGTGCATCGGATGCGCTCAACCCGTCAGCCGCCGCTTTTGGTGATCTTTTTAATCCGTTTGCTCGGTTCCGGCAGCTCGGTTCATTTTAATACAAAGCGAGGCGAGGCAATCAATCTCGACGCGTCGGCCAAAAATAGCCTCGCCGCCGCATGATTAGGGGTGTAATTCCATTGTTAGATTTTCGCACCCCCGCCTGCCTGCCGCGCGTACGCATTTGAATATAAATGAGAGAAGAGCGAGCGGCGGGTGCAATAATATTTATGAGCGAGTCATCTGTGGATTTTATTGCATTCGCCGCTGCACCCCCCGCAGCACCCTTTATTAAATGCACCGATTCACTCCCTCTGCCATTATTCGGGCATTAAGCTCCGTTTCGCCTCCTTCGTTGAATGCCACCGGGTCAATTTGGACGACCGCAACTATTTATATACACTCGCCGCCGTCATATACAATGGAAAGGAAAATAAAGATCGACCATTGTTTGCTCTGCACTTTCGCTTCATTTCGCCAAAATATGCGCAGAATCCCAAGGGATCCTTCCAATGCAGGCACGAATTCATATAGCCTATTATTAAAATTTTATGATATTTTTTAGAAATATTTTAATTATTTCATTTATCAACAATACCTATTGCTTTTGTTTGCAATTATGTCCCATTTAAATAATGTGCCATTTGAAGTTTTTAGTGATAGCTTTTTCTTTCAAATCTACAAATATTCCCTCAAAACTTCCCGTTTGTTCTGGTACCAAATCGATAACGCCACTTTATTCAAATTTAAAGCAATTTTTGAAAAGTTTTCAGTTTTAAATAAGCCATGATTTATATTTTTTATATATTTCTTTTTGCACCGGTGACTTTCAATCAATTGCATTACAAAATTTTGAATTAAGATCTTTTGCCCAAGATGATATTGTTTCGTTGAGATTAATTTTTTAAGATTGAAGTTTAAATTTTTAACGCTTGAAATCATTTGCTATTTTTTCCTTTCCTCAAATAATTTAATATTTTGGATATTAAAAAAAAATTGCCTGAAATTGTTATTCATGACTTATCAATTCTATTGCAATGATTTTGAGAAATTGAATAATAATTTCATTTGATTTATTGTTTTCAGTCAAACTTTTAGCTAAATAACTTTTAAGAAGTCTCTACTTTACGCTTTTTAATAGTTAATTTTACTCTTAAATAAATACTAAAAAATACCTTCACATAAATATTTTCTTAATTTTGTGAAAACCTTCAATTTTTCGAAGAGCTAAAAAATTCTTATATTTTAATCCTTTTTAAGATAGTTATTTGCTTTAAAATTGAGTTACATTCAATCGTCTATTCTATAATGAAAGTATAAATAATTTGTTCCATTCGAAAGTTTTTTATGGATTAAAACCCCCAGTTCAAAGAAAATGATCAAATTTGAATTATTTATATTGATTTTTCTACATGCTGCATATTTCATTGAAATTTCGAATTAACAAGTTCAAAGTTTATCTAGCAGAAAGAGAGTTTTACTGTCAACCACAAATTTGAATCGATGTATTTATTTAATTTAGAAAAATCATCTCCAAATAGACAAACAATTTAATCTGAGCCCAAAATGCTAATAGGATGATTATCTTCGGTTCAAGTGAAGTGGCAATTAGTAGAAACGATCGGTTCGTCGATTAGCTGCTGGTTCTTTTCTCGTCAAGCAGCTCCATTTTGCCGCTGACGAAAGTCTAATCTAATTATAGAACGGAAAGAAGCCGCGCGCAGCCTCTTCTCGCACCACTCTCAATTCTCGTCTACATCAGATCGACTCACTTACAAGCATTCTGAGAGAGGAATAAAAAAGTGGCCGCCGCCGACAGGCTAATTGGCCGCGTTAGTCGCTCGGTTGACACTCAATTAGCACGCGGCGTTAATCATCGCAAACGCCGCCGTTCGATTTTTCAGAGACGCGCGCGCGCTGCAATTATTTTAACTAACGCGGGCCGCTTAAGCTCCTTAAGTCCCGAAATGTACCGCGGGGATGAAAGAGGATTTTTCCACTAATCTTGCTGGCTGTGCCATTGAATTAGCAGCGAGCCGCCCAACACACCTCGCTTTCGCCGAATGAATTTCGAATAATCTGCACCAAGAACACGCGCGCGCTATTCACGCCTTTCATCTGTCCACTCTTTATATTCCACTTTTTATAAACGGAAAATAGCGTTGGTAAAAATATAAAATACTTATGACTATAAATTTATTTTGACTGCATGAAAACGTAAAATTTTTAGTTCAAAAAATACTAATTGAGATTTAATTTTTCCTATGCTTATCTATAGTTCTATTAAACCATCTAAAGTTTTCTCAAAATTTGCCATACACATACAAAGTTTTCTGGAAATATTATATTATTTGCTTAATGAATAGTGTATTCATTCAAAGGGGAAGAAAAATTACTCCTATAGAATTTGAGCAAAGGTTGAAACATAAAAACAGAAATCTAATATTTTCATGATCAAGCTCACAATAAGAAGCTTTTTGTTTGATTTTTGGCAAAACCTTTGAATTGTTGAATTGGTTGCGGATAATTTTCAAGTTTAATTTGCCTTAATTTTTCTAAAATGTCAAAATGATTCCAGTTTAATTCTTCCTTTTTTTGGTGAAACTGATTTCAGGTCATGACAAATTTCGTCTGACATCTCGCTAATTTTTACAGATTTGATGCAAATATTTTTTAGATTTATTTACCTTCGGTTTTATCAAAAACAACTACTTCATCTGAGAAAAGGAAAAAATTTGATTTGCCTTAAAATTAAATTAAAAAAACTATTTATAATGACTTAAAAATTATTTCATAATAATTATGAGAACTTTTGAACTCACCCTGACTCTGGCCTCGGTGAGACTGGTCCACATGGCGATCTCCTCCCTGGTGCTCATGTCCGGGTACCTGTTTCTGGCAAAGGTCGCCTCGAGCTCTTGCAACTGCTGCGAGGTGAAGTGCGTCCGCTGTCTGCGCTGCCGTTTCTTCTTTCCGTCTTTGCCGTCGTCTTGGTCCGTTCCGTCGATGCCCGGCTCCGACTTGACGATGCCCGCGTCCACCGACAAAGCTCTGCTCCCTGCAAACACAGTCGAGAGAGAAATAATAATCAATAACTGAGATATAAAAAAAGGTTGCTGATGCTCAAAGTTAAACAGTAATTATTTTGAAGATCAAAAGCAATTAACCTGACTGAGATTCCAATTAGAAAAAATAGACGTTTAAAAATATTTTCATATAATTTATTAAAAAGTATATTTTATTACATGAAAATCTTCTAGCAGATTAATTGTCCAGAAATTATTTAAAAAATTTGTGCGATTAAAATGCTTCTTGAAAGGATTAAAAGTTAAAATAGCGCATCTCTTGAGACTTTTCATTTATTAAATTCGTGGTTGTACTAAAATGAGCCAAACTATCACATCAAAGGTTACGGAAAAGACAATTGAAATATTTTGTTCAATTAATCAGGCTAGGAAAAGGAGGGCAATTTAAATTTGCTGGGATTAATTCAAATGCAATTTAAACATAAATTTGGTTTATTTTTGGAGAAATTTAAAAAAAATTATTATTTTTATCCAGACCATTCTAATTTTGTAAAGACTACATAGATAATTATTTTTTTCATTAAAATAAACATCAATGCAGTTTTGTCCTGCTTAGCTTTTTTTTTTTAAATTCGGCAAGTTTTATTTTGGATTTAAATGTTGGTTCCCTGGTAGTCTAGGAGCCCATTTTGATCATCCCCGAGAGTTGGAGGAATTTGCTCCTTTTCCTTTTCCACACCAGTCCATTTTATCCTCCGGAATTCGTCGTGCCCCGCCGCGATAAAGAAGAAATCCGGCGGTGCTGCTGCTGCGAGTATATTTACCCAGCAGCTAGGGAGGGTGCACGCGTTGTAGGGGTTGGTTGGCATGGGGTGCTCAAATCTCGAGATGAGAGCTATCCGGGCGGGCAGGCAGGAGCTGCGTGGGCTGCAGAAATTGCAGGAAGGAGCAAAATAAATTATCCCGCTCGGCCTTGCTTGGGGCGCGGAAAGGGCGCTTGCGCCTGTTTATGCTGCAACCCGCGGAAGCAGCAGAAGATGGCTGGCTGCAGCGGCGCGGCGGGGGTAGCGGTGCGGGGCGGGGGTGGTCTCCGCCCCAAAGCCCCCGGCATCAAGAAAATTGATTCGGCTAAACGCTGCCGGAGCCGCCGCCGCCGCCCATAAAAACTGCATTATCTCAATTAATTGACTTAAAACTCGGGCTGATGGCGCGGCGGGAAAAAAAACTTCAGCCACTCTTCCGAACCAAATTGATTGCACATGGCCGCACACTTTGCGCGAAACGCAACCCCGCGGAGATTTATATTCGCGAGTTTCTTTCCTTTCGCTCTGCTCGCTGGCAACTTCCCAGAGGGGGAATTTTCTTGAGAGCTTCCTTTTCTCTGGGTTGCTGAATAAAAATTATCAAATTTCTTTATATTATCTAGGAATTTAAAACTGATGCAGAACCAGAAGATTAGAATTTATCTCTTATAACAATCGTCTTAATCACAAAAAATTTGAATAATTCTTTGTTGACATGATTTTCTTTGAATCAATTTTCAGTAATTTTTAATCGATCGATTAATTGGTTTGATTTTTATATAAAAATTTAAAATTCGTTTTCCTAAAAAAATTTACTCTATATCAGATGCGTAGTTTCAACCATCGATCGTTTTTGTTTACAAGCAATTCATTCTCATTGTCAGCTGACAGCGAGCAGATTTTCCACCGCGCGACGCGAATCGTATCGACCTGATCCCCTTTTTGCACTCGATTTTCCGCTGGACTCGATCAAACATATAAAAATAATGAAATAATTCAGACTTTAATTTTCTCTCCACTATAATTTTGAAGTTTTTTTCATTTTATAAAAAAATCATGTCCCTAATCGCAGCGTGTGTGTTTCCACAGCAATAAAAGTTGCCGAACAACTGTTTGGGTGTTTTTTGTTTGGGCCTCGATCTTGAGAGCAGAAGTTTGATATTGCTGATGTGTGGCGAGAGAGCAAACACGCGAGACGAGAGAGGTTTTGTCGACGCCGCCGAGAGATGTTAGAAATTATGTCAAGATATTGGTCTATGACAGAGACAGATCGACTATTGACAATCGCGACCAAAGGCGCCGCGCACGCTAACAATCTCGAAACTCTGATCGGCTGATGCGTGTTTGACTCAGGAAGCGTCTTAGAGAAGAATAAGGAGACGTCTTAGAATTTGGAGAAAAGTGTGATGCCTCAACTCAAATATTCCAATAATCAGCGCATTAATGAAAATTTATTGACAGCTTTGTTTTAATTGATTTTAATTTAACTCCATAATAATAGTTTTTATCGCAAATTTAAGGCAACGTGGATAATTAAATTATTGTTTTTAAATTAAGAAAATTAGATTTTATTGTTTAAAGAAAGTGGCACATTTTGAATAATTCTTTTTAAACTAGCTTTTTATTAAAAAAATGCAAATATAATTTTTGAGGAATAACCAAAATTTTGATGGAAATCACAATTATTTTTTCAGTAAGAGCCCAATTCATTTTTTTTTTTTTTATAAATATCAAGAAACAACATCAACCGCATAAATTATTCTTAATTTAAGGCATTTTTTTCTCTTATTGTAAGAAAATCACACAAATTGGCAATAATAAATCTGCATTTAGCCCCCTTAAATTTTCAGCAAAAAAGAAATGGTGAGATTTTAATGAACCTTTTTTAAAACTTACAAGTTACAAGTTTAACTATAAGAGAAATTTTAAACTACTGAAGAAGATTTTACGAACTCAAGCTGAAGAGAAGCAATTTTTAAGTAATTTTAAATGTACTCTTAATTTTTGAAAGCTAGTATTTCAATCCTTAAATGGAAGTTTTATTGTTCTGAAAACTTCTAAATCTTCCCAATGGAGCTGATAATGAAAAAATAATAGTCAAATTTCACTTATAAATTATGGTTTAAATTCCAATAAGATTTTTTTCCATCAACACATTAAAAGTTTCCATAATATATGTTCTAGAAGTTGTTGTGGAACCTTTTGGCACTCGAGGTGATCATTTTTTGATGAAATAAAAAATTTAAATAATGATTTCTTTAAAAAAATTCTAAACAATATATTTCTTCTTTAATCTTAATCCAAAATACATTAAGAGGAATAAGTTAATTTAATGTTAAATAATCAAGTTGTTTGGATGAAATCGATCAAAATTAACAAGTCAAATTTTATCGTATCTTGAGACAGGAAATTGATTCCAACAAAAAACAATAGTCGTGAGAAGATTTATTCAGTTTTTGAGAATTATTGCATAAATTTTGCCACTTTTGCAAAGAGTGCTTGTTTTTTCCCACACCGCGAGCGCGGCAACTCGGTCTATAATGCATCAAAGCAAGGGTGGCGCACACACGTTGAAAGCAAAAGGCTCGCGGGCTTACACGCACTTGATAGCGGCCAAATCCTCTGGATATTGGCGCCAGATTGAAAAAATAAACCCTCCGCCGCCGCTATCATACTTTCCTTGCTCCGTCTCTCTCCTGCGCGACTTAAAACTCTCGGCGTGCTTTATTTCCGACGTATAAATTTTCCCGCCCTTTCGCTCGAGTGTGAAAATTCGCTTGCAAATAAGGCGAGCGTCTTCATGCTCGAGAAAAATTCAATTTTGCGTGCGGGCACCAATATCTCATCCCCGCCTCCCCTATGGCCAGCCGAGCGTGCCGACGAGGGAAAAGGAAAAAATCTGCCGCGCGCACCGAGCGGAAGAAATAAATATTTGCGCTCGAGAAAATGACAGTATGAAAATTTCGAGTTTTTTCTTTACCTTTTCTGTCTCTTCCTCTACTCCTCGCGGTGGGGAAAGTCAGTTGCGAGTGGTCCATGCTGCTGGTCATGTTGTGCGGGTTTTCCCGGAAGTCTGACGACGTTTCCCACACTGGAAAAATAGAAACTGATTGATGAGCTTTTTATTATTTGGAAAATTGGAAAAAGTCTTAAATTAACAAAATGAAAAAAAAAGATTAATAAATTATATCAATGAGTTCAAGAAGAAAAGTAAAGGAGAGTTTTAAGAGTTTTTAATATTTCGATTGAACAATTTGAAGAAATTTAGAATTTTATTATTTAGACACCCGAATCCATTTCTGGATTTGAAGTAAACAATGAAATTATCCACTCCTCGGCAAAATATGCAACTTTGCTGCAATTATAAATTCAATCTAATTATAGTTTTATTGTGTGTCTATTTTGGACTAATTTAAAAAGTGAAAAAAAAAAATCAATTGCTTAGACTTTGTGTAACAATCAGAATAATAAATACAAAGAAATAATTTGCTTGTAAATGTTTTTGGGCAGTTTTAGAATATATAAGATCATTAATTTCAATTTTCTCCTTTTACTTGAGTTTTCAATTAATTTAGAAAACTCCACTTTCAAAGGATTCAATTTAATACCCTTAAATATTTTCAAAACCTTAACTGTTATAACTGTTTGTGGAAAAATCCTGGTGACAGTTGTGTGTGTTGACCTTTGCATTATATCTGCTCTTTAGAAACAGTTCGCTTGGTGTGCATAATGGGAGAGAAGCAAACACATATCTTTTGGCAAACAGGCATTTTCGAAGGTTTGTTTGAAGATTAGGAAGGTCAGACCAATTGAACCTGCGCTCAAATTCTGTTTGCACTATGAGAGCCTTTGTTCAAATTGTTTTCCACGCTGATTTCGGTTAATTTCTGCAAATCAATTAAAATATTTGTTTTTCCAATTTAATTTTCATGCTTATTTACTTTTTTCCTCTGAAAAGATTGTAATTTATATGAAATTGTCAGAATGAATAGCCATTTTATTTGTAAGGAAATAATGCATGATTTTGCAAGTAAACAAGCAGTTATTAAACTGATTTCTATGATTTAAATGTTTGTTTTTTCAATTATTTTGAGCATTTTCAGTCAAATCTTATCAATTTTTGTCCTTCTGTATGAATTCTTGAACAAAATTCTCAGACTTGTGCATCGAAAATATCAAACTTATCATTTTGCAAAATGCATTCTTAGTTCTTTCCAGAGGCTTGAAATTGAATTAGCCAAAAATTGAATGCCTCAATAAAATTGACGTTATTTATTCAGATTTTTTTTTTTGTACTTTAAACCGGAATAATAACCAAAAAGCCAAAGGATTCAACAGAAGCCCTGCATATAAGGACCAAAAAATGTAAATGAGGTTAAGCACCTCTTTGATTTTATTCTGAAGATGATAAATATTGATTAATTTTTTTTTTTTATAGGGTCAGGCCAAGACAAAGTCTTGTCGGCCTGTGCCCTTTTTAGTGGCGCAGAAGGCGCCACTCAATTTTGTCTTTTTTTTTTTTATTATTTTTTATTTTGGGTTTGTCTTTATTAAAATCAAGCATCATTTATTTTCGCTGGCATAATCTGAATTTCGCTGGCATAACTTTTGTCAGGCAGATTTTGAAACAGAAATAAGAATATATTAAATTAAAGTTAATTTAAAATAATTCAGTTCAGATAAATCAGAGCAAGTGTTTGAAGTCTTTTAAATCTGGATTTTAATACAAAAAGCTTGGCGAGACCGTCTATATAGAAACTTTAGAATGACTGCATTTATATCTGTTTTCAGCTCAAACGTGATAATACATGTGACGGAAAGATAAATTTTGGTTATTGTGATGAACGCGCAGGGTGGTCAACCCCGGTTGTTATTTCAACCTGTTTGAAAAGTGCTCTCTGCGCTCTTTTATCTCGGTCGCTCATTGAGTTAGAGAGTGAGCAAATAGTCGGTAATGAGTGCGAGGGCGGCCGGGCGGGCCGGTCGGTCGGGCTGACGAGTGGTGAAGAGAGCATTGGAAGCATTATCGCACGCAAATGCACACACAGCGCACTACTTTTATTTATTTATTCGTGGCGCGCATAACACAATAGCACGCGCCACTCTCTGGCCTTTGTGTTTGCTCTCTGATAATGAGCAGCAGCACCACCACCACCACTCGTTCGTTATTTCGTTACACAGGCACCAGACACTGGCGAACAATAAAAAAGGTGCGACACACACACACTCTCTGGCTCCTGTGAATAAAGAGCTATTTTATTTGGCTCTCTCAGGACGCGACACGCAGTCACCGCCGCTCCGCAAACAAACGCCCTTTAGACAATCATAAACTAGAGAGGTGAAAAATAGTTCTGCTAGTTTAAACTTTCAAGATGAAAATTATTATGAAATTAAATTTGCAAATAAAGTTGTTTTAGAACTTCATTGTATAGAATTTTTATTAATTAAACAAAGTTAATGGATTTTTTTAATTAAATATTGGTATATTTTACTAAATAAAATTAGTTCTAATTATTTGAATATTTTAAATCATTAGGAATTAATTAAATCTAAGTGAAAAAATTCCAATTTTTTTAGTAAAATAAATTATAGCAAATTCCCTTCCCTAAGGATTTTTTTTCTTTAAAGAATTATTCATTTAAAAAAACCCCAATATTTATTCTCTTTCGAAAATTTCAAGTTGCAAAAGCTAATGATTCGTGAATATTTGGCCGAAATAAAATAAATTTTGAGTGAAATTTGATTTCTTATGAAGTAAAGTAAGTTGTTTTTGATTTTGTTTCAGATTGTTTTCTACTTTTGAGGCACAAGTGTTTGTTCACATAAATGAAATAAACAAAAGGCAAGCTGCATTGAAATGATTTTGGATCATTTTTATAGAAGCGTTCCTGAGTGATTTTGGTGGATTGTGCTCAATTTATAAAGATTGTTGATTGATGTGGAGGAATTTGCAAAATTTAAATTGTTTCAATGCCGGAAACTATTTTTCAAAAATGGGAAAGTGGTAAATTATGCAGCATCAAATTGAATTAAAATTAAACTATAAACTTTTTATCGTTCCTGAAATTAAAAAAGAACATCATTTAAATTGTTTACATTTTGTTGGTGATAATTTTTGGATTTATTATTAGACTGTGACAAATTTGAAATTGTATAGAAATAATTTTAATTTAGTAAAAATGTTTTATTTGGTAATTTTAGTTTAAATTTCCAACAATTTTGAAGTTTTTTATTTTAGTAGTTTTAACAAAAAAATATTGCAGATCATCAATGGATTTTGTAAGAACTAGGAAAATTACAAAATAATAAACGATTCACAAAACACATTGAGGAACTGCCGCTTTTAAAAAAATAACCTCAATTGCGCGCATATTAAAACTTAACAAAATTTTAAAATTACAGTTGTATTTTGTTACAATTCAAATTTTTGCTGTAAATTTAAAGAATAAATAAATAACAGATCTAAAACTTTGAGCAAAAAGATAAATCTAACTGAAATTAAAAGAAGTGTCTGACGTGAAGGCTAATTTCAAAAGTTCTGGGCGGCTCGCGCTGTATAAAATATAGTGGACGCGCACGTCATCTGCAAATCCAAACAAAGTACTTTCGGATGCGGCAAATTTATTTCTCAGCGGCGGCAAAACATTTCTGTGCCGGCAGAAGATAAACAAGACTCGCGGCTGGGCCAATATATTTGAGTGGGAAAAGTCGGTAGATTTTTCTCGCGGCGCGTCGCGTCCATAAATCCCGGTCCGCTGACAAATACTTGCCGCGCGAGGGGCGCATATAATTTCGTGAGATGCTTGTTGATTTGTGTTTAACCACCCACCCAACTAATATCCACCCCCGACTAATAACTTGACACCCCCGCGGACGAAAACGAACGGCTTCCGTTTGAAACCCGAGACGCCGTTTAGCGCGAAAAATCATTTGTGCAGTCACGCATGGCCAGGAATTTTCGACGACACGTCGCGCAGGTGGCCTAACTCACAAACCGAACACGACTCTAGCTAGATACATGTGTATGGCAAAAGGGTCACGTTTCTCACCCAGAGTCGCTTCTGTTCGCGCAATCATATCGCCCGAAATTTATGTTTTCCGCTCGATTCGGACGTGATTTGGACACACGGAAGGGGGAAAATCATGCGTGCTAAAATCTAAAATAAAAAAATGTTAAAAGGGCGAGGGGAAATTTAAAGACTCCTGAGTAAAGGGGGATGAATTTGGAGAATATTTCAAGAAGAGCTTCTTAAAAATAGCTGTATTTTTTCAATCCTCACTCTTATTGCGTTAGAAGATTGAAAAAGATCTAAACAATATTCTCAATAAATTCTCAAGTTTTACGTGTTCTATTTAAAGCATAATTTGTATCTTTCAGTGTGTAAAAATTCTAAATGAAAAGTTTTCAAATAATTTCATAATTACATTACAATTTGGATCAGAACTTCAATCCAAATTGCATTAAAATGGGCTGTGTAAAAAAAACCTTCATTTGCATTTGCATAATAATTTGAAACCTTAATTATAGTAAAATAATTTTAATTATTTTATTAATCTTGAGAAAGAATTAATATATGCCTTATTTCTATTACTTTTATTATTATTATTATTAAAATTTAACAAAAACCAAAAGGGAAATTTTTAATTAATTTTTAACTTCCTACATTTTGTTGCTGTGCTAGTCAAATTCGTAATTAAATTTTAGGCCGAATTTTTAATTGAAATACATTTTCTCTTCTCACAAAAAGTCCAAGATGGAACGTGAAAAAAGACAATGCCACAAATCCTTAAGCTCTTATTCAATTCTTATCATTGTTTAGTTTAATTATTATAATATTTCGATTTTAGAAGAAAAAAAATTGTTTCAATTGCCTTTAATTTCTTTTAATTATTTTTATAAATCATGCAAAGATCCAATTATATAAGAAACAAAGTGCTTATTTAACACAATTTTCTTTAATTGAGTATTGAATTCATTGAGATTGGTTTTTAAATGCAATCAAAACCAAAACAATAATTCTATTTCAGCATTTTTCTTGCATTTACAAAGAAACAGCAACGAGTATTAAATACAAACAGAAACTTGCTAGCAAGGAAATTAAGAGTTGTGTCTGTGTGATTACAAATTGAGGTGAACAGCTGCCTGGTTTATTTTGTCCATCGGTTTTTGAACGCGTCTCTCGTATATTTTTTTCTTTTTGCGGCTAATCCCCGCGCGCCGACTCGACGACGTGTCAGCCCCGCAATTATTAAGGGTCCCCCAAGAAACCCCAACAGATGTACGTACGTATCATTCCTCCGGCCCGGCGGGCGATAAATTACGCGGCCAGCCGCGCGCACCATCAAAAATTCCAACTCGCGTCGCTCCGCTGCGCCTATTATAAAATGTACCACGGCAGACGCGTCTCATCTCGCGCACTTTTATTACTCCTGATAATGCACATTCATTTAGGGTTGCCTCTTTGCAGAGTCTCTTTGTCTCGCACCAAAATAGAGTAAAAGTTTACTCATTAAAAATATCATAATTATACAACAATTTAACCTTTTGGTAATAATTCTGATTTTTATCATTTAAAAAGTTTGAACTGATTAAGAAGTCTTTAATTTTTATTAGGATTTTGATCAGCCACAAAAAAATCGATAATTTTAAATTTAAAATAAAAATGTAAAAAAAATCACACAGAAAAATAATTGTGGTTTCAATTTAAAAATGAAAATTCTTCATTTTATTAAATTTGAAGTAAAAAAGGATCCTTTCAAAAATTATAGCATCATTTTCTTCTTCTTTTTTATTGTTCTGATGCGTATAAAGAATAATTATTGGAAAAAATTTATCCATCTCCACACCTCTTTTCAAAAAATGCATTCACTGCTAGAAAACTATAAAGTTAAAAAAAAGCAGCTGAATTTCAATAATTATACCCTTAATTTAAATCCGTTGTTTCTAAAATACCTTCTTTTAACGCATTAAGTAAGTCTAGATAAAAAAAACGTTTTAATTGCTATTGTAAATTTAGACAAAAGTCAATTTAATTCCATTGATAAGAACAGCTATTTTCTTGAAAATCTAATAAATTTGAACATCAAAGTTTTCATACAAAGTAGGTTTTAAATACATTAATAATACAAAAGGATCATCTAAAATAAAAAATCATATCATTATTAAAGTGTGTTTTATAATTAATTAAGAAACATAATGTGGTTGAAGAGTTTAAACATTGACGATAATTTCAATGCTTTGGATTTGAATATTTAAAAGTTATATGAGATTTTAGTTTTAATTTTAATCACTCCAAGTACAGTTAAATAACATTGAAATTTAAGTTTATCTGGACATCTTTAGCATTGAAAGTTTTTAATGTCCAAAATAAATTTATTCAGATTTCTCCAAGTAATGAAAAAGAAGTTTAAACTGATAAAATTATTCATTTAACCCCAAATTTTGCTATTGGAACGTTCAATTTGTGCGTTATATAGGAAGAGGCATTGTTGCGATTATATGCACTGGGGCGCTTATGAAGATGAATGGGGGTGGCCGGTTGAGTGAGTCGGTCGGTCGGAGGCACTTGGTAATGATATGAATGATGAGCCCCAGAATGGATAGTGTCAGAGATCTCTTTTGAGGCGCCCTCGAGTGGAAAATTGAGCCGCTCTCGTGCGCGCCGTGGGGTGCGGTGTCGCGTTTCCTCTCACTCTGTTTTTTATCCGCGCCACGGCCACAGGGAATATAGTCATGTAATATAATATATAATCGCGCAGCAACATGTTTTCGAGCGGGCAATGAGGCGCGACCAATCTCACTCGCGACAAAGGGGTTTGCGCTTAATGAGCTCTTCAGCCGAATCTTCTGCTGTTCGCATTCCCATGCCGATGCTCAAAAAAGTGTCAAGGGAAACCAAACAAATGGTGATGATTTTATGCGTCGACTTGATGAGCTATTGAAAATATTTATTCGACCCCATCACAATTTCAGCACCCCAAGCAGCAGTGCTAATTTAAAAAAAAGTATCACATAGCAAAATTAACCTCTAAATTAGTTTGATTGGTGAATTGTTGAACGATTTTAAAATTCACGAAAAACAAATCTCTATAATTTGCTGTGAAACTTGACCTACTCCGTGTTTCATGTGTGACCTCAAATCTAAGATGAGAAGTAAATGAAAATAAATTAAAACTAATTGTAATGATTTTAGCAATTTTCAAATTAAAATAGCGGTGAAAAGACAGTTATTTACAAACTGAAAACAATTTAATTTAATGTCTTTCCTTTCTTTCTCTTTCTTTAAAATAATCTCCTGACAAAAAAGATTTTGTTATAATTTTTCAAAATATTCGTCATTGAAAATATTGAATAGCAGAAATCAATGGCTGAAAATAAAAAAAACTTACTAATAAAACAATTAAGAAATAAGAGCTGAGATTTCTCGGAAGATTTTGTTTATTTGTTTGTTTAAATTATACTTTTGCTTAAATGTATCCAATTTCACATTAGAAACTGTTTTACTTTCAATTTTGTATAAATAATGCAAATAGCTGCTATTTTTCTTTTCTATACTGATTGTTTAATGTTGCAGTAAGTCTGAGTCAATCCAGCTACTTTGTAGGGCTTATGAGCTCAAAGGGTCAATTAAGCAACCGAAGCAACCCATTGTTTCTCTATGCCTTGACATTTTCTTTTTTAATTAAAAATTTTGCAAACATTTAGCATTAATTTTATTAATTTTGGAATTTATTTTTAACGCACTTAATTAAATTAAAAAGCTAATATTTGTAAAGTAAGAATGATTTTCATAAAAATTATTATCCGTTGCTTTTAAAGTCATTGAAGAAAACAACGCTAAAATAATCTTGTATAATTTAAACTAGTTCATGCAGAAGAACATTATTTAATAGTTGCATATTATTTCTGTTAACACTGTAGATAATTACAAATTGCCAATGTTGAATTTTGCGCTTGTTTTCATAAGCATTGCGCGTGCAAAAGAACAAGCTTTGCCAATAAAATTACAAGAAAAAAGTTATCAGTAAAATGGTTGCAAGCAGGGCATTTTAATTCCAAGATGAAATTGTTTTTTTTAATTTCTACTCTCAACAAATTTTGAATCAAAACACAATTAAAGTTTTGTATGTAAAAACACCGCGTTTGAATCACGTTAAAAAATTATCAACCAGTCAAGATTTCAGTCATGAAATGTTAAACCGCTATCGCTGGTGTATAAAAAAATTGTAATAAACGTAAAATCCTAATAAGAAACATGGCCAATGTAGCTGCAAATCCTTTAGTAATATTTATAATTTAGAAAAATTTAGTATTTATAAAACGGCTCGATATAAAAAGAAGATCTAAGAATTTCTATGTTTTAAATTTGTGTTTATACCCTGCTTATTGATTTTATATCCCAAAACTAATTTTTTTAATAAACCAACTATAAAATTTTTGTGTCTGTTATCAATCAAAACAGTTTTTGCTCATACTTAAATACCAATTATGTAAAATATGTAAAAATTAATAAAAAAAAAAGATTATAAATGTTGCAGAAAACGAAGGGGAAAATCTCTTCTCATAAAAATTTTAAATTTAATTCGATTGATATTTTTAGGGAAAATTCAATTTAAATATTAAAAAATTAAAAAAACATTATGTTTTCTTGGATTTAATAAAAATAGGAACAATTATACTTCAGGATCTATATTATATATTACGAAAAATTTTGTACTCTTTTATACTGATGAATTTTTGATTTTATAGAACAAATAATAAGCAAGAAAAATTTGAATTACAGAAAAATTATAGAAAATAAATACCCGAAAAATGATTCAAAATGTGATTTGTTTTGAAAGGTGATTTTGACTTACCTCTTTTGAGTTTCTCGAGCGGCTCGTGGTGGAGAGGCGGGCAGGGTGGCGGTACGGAAGGTGCGGGGGCCGCGACGGCCACGGCGGCGGCCGCGGCCGCGTGTTCGGCCGAGCTCATGAGGTGCTGCGCGGCCGAGTGGTTGAGGTGCAGCGAGTGCTCCTGGTGGTGGTGGTGGTGCAGGTGGTGGTGGGCCGGGTGGTGGTGCTCGAGGGAGGCCGCCCCCGCCGACACCAGGTCCTGCAGACACAGGGCCGAGTTGTCCTGGCCGCCGGCCGAGTTCGGCCCGGCCGCGTGGTCCATCTTGAGGATCCGTCCTATCGGATAGTCGGCACTGTTTAACGAGAAAATCTTGCCGCCCTTTTCGCGTCCGGGTCCACGTGGAAAAAACAGTCGGTCCGACTGGGGGCTCGTTCGGGGTCGCTCGCTCTTTTCTTTCTGCTGCACCGACTGACACTGCACGCCGGCCGGGTCGTCGCTCGCTCGCTCGCCGCCGAGTCTCACTGCCGCTCCCGCGGCCGCCGCCGCTGCTCGCGCACGCCTACTCGGCGTCGAGGGGCGGCGGCGGCCTCCTCGGGGGCGGGCCGACGGCCCGAAAAACAAACGCCGACGGACGCGCAAACAACAGCACACGCGAATATTCCGCTTTGTTTGTTTGCCTTTTGCAACTCGCAAGACGCGATGTTAGCTCGGCACTGCTTTAATTATAATATTTGCCATTTTGCAGCTCCACAGCAAAAGCCATAAAAAGACGAAAATAACTCCTAAATTAAATTAAAATAATTAAATTTTTTAAATTTATTGCCTGAACATTGTGATTCCATGCAGCATTTTTAGAATGAAGTAATTATTTAATTACAAATTACACTTATTTTCCTTTTAAATCTTTTTTCAAATTGCCAGAAACTGTTTTGTTGAAATGGATTAAAGAGGGTATAAACAAAATTAAAATAAAAAAGCAGATTTAAGCCGATATAAAGAAGTTCGTGATGAGTAAACTGGTATATTTTCATGAAATTTGATATGCCTGAATTTGCTGAATTTTAATTTCATTCTAAATCAATTTCCGATATCCAATTAATTTAAAAATCTCTGAATAATATAAACCTGAATAATAGATTTGAACCTTCCTTGCGCATATTTTTTTAATATTAAATAATTCGAACAATTTTTTTCATATAATTTAAATTACAGTTATTTAAAATTTTCCCCAGCTATAATCAGATAAAGAAAATTGCACTTATCAAATAAACGCTTTCTTAAAAACTAATAAATTGGCAGAAAGCCTCATTTATTAAATTAAATCACAATTTTTATAACTAAAAAATTTCTTAAAACTTTCTATGATGCTCCAATTTTTCTGGTGCTAATATCTCTAAAATTTCTTTAATTTGTTTTCATATTTGGCAAACTCCCGATCAAAGACTGAATTGTATAAAATTTGCATAAAATTGTTTTGAAATTTTTTCAGAATTTTACAAAAATTATCAGCCTTACAAAAATAAAATCGATATAAATTTTTCAAACTTGCTTTATTTAACTGTTGCGGAGAAATTATGTATTCCTTATTATTTTTTTCAACAGTAATTCAAAAATTGACTTGAAACATTTTTGCAACAACCTTTTTTTATTCGAGTAGTTTTTTGCTTTCAGAAAAAAGATTTCGCCGTGGACCAAATGAGGCGCAACTTGGGTCGTCGCGGGGCACACGTTGAGGTAAGGTCAGGGCGTCGTTCTATGATGATGTTTTAGTGCTGAAAGTGTTATTACTTGGGCTTTGGTGGCGCCGCCGCACCAGTATAAAGTATAAAAGCCGATGTTCTTTCTGTGCGCGCGGTGCTACATCACGTGTGTGTGTGTGCAAGCAAGAGCACTATATGGGCTCAAAGTGGAGTTACAGAGAGATCAACAAAACCTAATCTCGGGATCCAGACCGCGATTTAAACCTAAGTCCTCGGCTATATATCATTCGCTACACACCAGCAGCAGCCAGATAGACTCACTCTCTCCACCGCACAGCCACCGCACGCGATTGAACCCTTAGCTTTCTGCGAACCCTTTGCCAAGATTTAGGGTGGCGCCCCCGGGAGGAGAAGAGCCAAAGGTTGCAAATCATTCAAACTCGCGCTCTTTTACACAGCCAAAGAGAGACAAAAAATTTCACACCGAAAGCAAATAAATTTAATTTAAAAACAAAATATTAGCTAACATTTTTGACAGTTCTATTAAATTCACAATTTTTTATTTAATAAAGAATAAACTTTTTTTGCGGGTGTAAAGTGTATTTTTTTTTTTTTTTTAGAAATTTATATGATTTAATTATATTTGAAGCTTCTTTTAAATTATTTAATAGAAGCCGAGCTGAAAATGAGATTATACTTAAAAAAATCCAACCACTTTTTGCATTTATAATCCAGAAATTAAAAAAAAAAAAAAATACCAAAACTGAATTGAATTTTCACAAGTAGCAAAATAATCCTCATTAAAGCCGGTCTACCCCAATTGATAATTCGGCGAAGGGCTTAAAAGCACCCGCTCTCTCTTCCTCTCTTCTCCGTCCAAAAAAAAAGAAAGCGAAAGCGTCGGTATGCAACCTGCTGCACCGCGGTGCACGGCGGGCAGCGTCGGTCGGCGCTCGTAGGGGCAGCTGCGGTGGCCACGCCCACGTCGATAAAGATCCCCCGAGGAACGAGCGGCTCGGAACGAATGGAGCGGCCGCAGGGAGGAGTTATGGCCGCCTCCGGCAACATGGCAGAGTGCCAACCACTCCCCAGCCGCGAGCGCGCACCAGATTATTTCGATATCGAGACACACACACGCGAGCAAGCGAGCGAGCGGATCGCAATATTTCACATCTTTCGAGCAATGCCGACGACCAGAATGCAGATAAGAAAAAGAGAAGAGGCACGCTCGTGCAATTATATACCATATACACTTTTTATTCTTGTTTGTCGCGCGCGAATTTGGCCTCGATTGCAGATACGGACGGGATTGTCACGGTTGCTGCTTTCAAACATGACAAATTAATCCGGCTTAAAGTGGTTTTATATTATAACTTCATTAATTTCCTATTAAAAATTATGTAAAAAAATTAAATTCAAGATAGGTTTATTGCATGTTGTATATACACTTGTTTCTAATGAATATTTGATGATGATTAAAAGTAAAATTCCTGTTTTCCATAAAGAGATAAAAAATTCATGATACAAATATGTAGTATTATTTTTTTATAAATTTTATAAAATTTTTATTACTTTATTTTGCAGAAAAACAAGTTCCGAGTACCTTTGCATCGCCCTCAATGCAAATAATAACTTGTAATTGATAAAAAAACAAACTAAAGTTGATTCAAATTAATTGTAATTTGGTTAAAAATTTTTAATAAAATATCCGTTTTAGAATCCTAGCGACTTATATTAAAATTTGAAGATTATATAATATTATTCTGATGAGTTTTGTGGAAAAATTTTGTAATTTAATTTTTCCTTTAGAGATCATTTTGAAGTTTAACAATTTAACAACACTTAAAATTGGCAAAAAAAATGTGTACATTGGCTGCCCGTGTGAGAATCTGAATTGAAGTCAAAAGTTTTAATTATCTGAAGTAACAATTTGGAAACTATAAAAAAAAAACTTAGCAATAAAAATTTTAAAACTGCGAAAAACTAAAAATTTCTGGCTCTGACCTCGTTGATATGCAATAATCGTCCAAAATCTACACCGTTCACCAGTTTTTCTCAATAGTACCTGACTTTTGGAAATTGATTTTATTCAAAATACTTTAATTGTTTTAGGGAAATCAATAAATAACAATAAATATTAAAAAAAAAAACTATCAATTTTAAACTAAATTGATTAAGAGGTTTTGGTAAAAAATTGAATTCCTACAAATTGCTGGGTAAAGTAAATATGCGAACACAAAGTTTGTCTATTTTCAATATGTGCAGCAGTTATTTTGATCATCCTATAATAGCTTAATTTAAAAATTTAATTCAAAATATCAAATACATTAAATTATATCATCCGTATTTATATTAAATTTCATAAAGTTTTTTTTAAATGATTAATAATAATATTTCAATACATTTATCAGAAATACTTATTTTTCACTGATTGACACAATATTAATGGTTTTAGCCAAAAAATTGTTAAAATAAAGCAGATGTCAATATAACATTCTCTCCCCAAAATTTATCTCCCTTGCCATTCAGAGTCGAAATGAATTCGTGATGCAGAAACAATATTGTGTGTTTGTGAGTGAAATGTGTCTGTCACGAGAGAGAGAGAGAGCGAAGTATCGGTGGCAAAACACTTGGCAGCGAAATGTTGGGAGCTGTCATGTCGTTATTACACTTCGATAGACATAAATTACTGTTGCGCCACTGCGATGATGCCGCCCCACGTGCGCCCACGGATACATTTTCGGAATATCAGTGGAGCGAACGACGAGCACACACAGAGACCATATTCGTCGCTTATCGCGGGGGTTGCATATACACAACAAAACTCCGCCGGCAAAACCCCCTTTATGCTCCGATGCCCTCCGCAGCAGCTATTTCATATATTTCAAAGGGTCGTTGAGCCGTGAGTGAGAGAGAGAGATGAAGATAATTCACACGCGCGTCGTAATTGGAATATATATATATGATTATTTGTATCAATGTCAAACGGCAGAAACAGATATATTATGTCGACGTCAAAATGTCTAATTGGGTCTTGATGAGTTGAAGGGTTTAGTAAAACCGGGCTTAACAAATTTAATTAAAAATTTTTTTTCTCTATTTTGAAAACTCAAAAATAAAAGAATTTTTAAAATAATATGAAGTAAAAGTATTCATGTTAAGAGGATAACAATCAATTTTATGATTAAATTAGAGCAAATTAGCAGCTCCGAGCCGAGGTGGAGGCAAAATTTGGTTTCTGCAATTCATCGACTTTAAACTGGATTTGAACAACTCTCAGGATCACAATATTGAGTCATATATACTTTTGACAAAGAGGAAATTATTGAAAAAAAAAAATATTAAAACCGCAATTCCCCCCCCCCCCCATAATTTACTTCTTTGACGTTCATTTTTTTTTACCTTTTTAGTGCATTTATTTAAAACAAGTTTAATAGTTTCCGAATTATCAATGATCCGCGCATATCGCAACATTGAATCATAATTTTATTGTTTTTAGAGCTCTCTGATGACTCTGATTCGGTACTATAAAAATTGAACCCAATCACAACGCTCAGCAACCAAATGAATTTATTCTGATTGTTTTCCAGCTTAAACCTTGCAAAACTATGTGCATTTTTGAGTTGAATTCGTATGTATGAAACATTATTTATTGCGGTTTTTTCATGCGGAGGTGTTTATATACAAGAAGGCAGAAAGTGAGCTTCTTAGTAAATTCCTGATACATATATATCAGCAGAATAACATAAAATTGAGGAATAATTGAGTTTTAAAATCATAAAAATAAAAATTTCTTAA